TTTCAATTACTGTTTTTTTTTTTACTATGTTGGCATAGACAATTGAGAGAGTTTATAAATTGAATAATTGAGTAAATGAGTTTTATTCTATGGGACACTTATTTATATAATTTATCCTATGCTCCAATATGCCCAATTAGGAATATCTGTTAATCCCCACTTCTACAAAATGAGGACTGGAAATAGTGTTTCAGTAGTAATGCCTCTACTTGGGAATTCAATCTGTCCGTATGTTGTGGTTTTTCTATAAGCTATTAAAAATGGAGCTTTTTAAGAAAGCCTTAGATCAGTGGTGGCAAACCTATGGCACTAGTGCCAGAGGCGGCACTCGCAGCCCTCTCTGTGGGCACGCATGCCATCGCTCCAGCCCCACCTTCCCCCACAGCTCCCTCCTCACCAGCAGCCCCCACTGGAGGAGAATCACTCCCGGGTGCAGCCTGTGCGGAGCTGCACAGCCAAGCACATGGCAGCTGGGCAGCAGATGATGTTGCGGGGTGCAGGCGGAGGGCATGGCCACCATGGCACTGCAGGGCCACCTGGGCGATCTGTGGCATGCTGTGGATAGCCCTGAGGGTGGGCGGGGTGAGGGCGGAGCAGGGCGGGAGTGGGCGGGCGGAGCGGGCTGGTTTTTGGGCACTCGGTCTCTAAAAGGTTCGCCATCACTGCCTTAGATATATGAACCAACACCATTTATTATACCACTGTTTGTATTATCTTTTATTATACTATCCTGTTTTATTGTACAATGTACGTTATATATCTATATCTATGGAGATTCTCAGTCATCCAGGTCATGGTTGTCCCAAAGGTGCCTTTTCAAGAGGCAACTAGACTTTTTTGTTTTTCTTTGAAGACTTTCGCTTCTCATCTAAGAAGCTCCTTCAGCTCTGATTGGATGGGTGGGGAATGGAAGGATTTATATTCGTTGCAGAAAGCTGGTCATTTGCATTCTTTTAGAAAGTCGTTGAGGCCACTTGAAGGTTTATTTATGTCCTCAGGGTCACCTGAGTGGTGCAAATGGGTGTGGACCCTTCTTGGAACTGCTGAAACATTGGGGAAACAAAACAACCCCTTTATAAATGCATGGCACACATTGGAGAACAAACCCATCAAGACAAGATTCAGCAGTCCATCTGCATTTAAAAGACAAAGGCCACTCTTTCGAAGATAGCAAAGTCCACATTTTGGACAGAGGACTGCTGGTTTGAAAGAAGGGTCAAAGAGGTCATCTATGTCAAAATTGTACAACCCCCTCTCAACAGAGGGGGAAGATACGACATCATCTATCTCTAGTCTATAACATAGTACTTCCAGCAGTTCCAAGAAGGCTCCACACCCATTTGCACCACTCAGGTGACCCTGAGGACATAGATAAACTTCCAAGTAGCCTCAACAACTCTCTAAAAGGAGGCAAATGACCAGCTTTCTGCAACAAATATAAATCCTTCCATTCCCCACCCATCTAGTCAGAGCTGAAGAAGCTTCTTAGATGACAAACAGAATGTCTTCAAAGAAAAACAAGAAAGTTCAGTTGCCTTTTGAAAAGGCACCTTTGAGTTTTACATTTATGTGTTGGAGGTTATAAAATGTGAAATGTCTCTCAAACCAATCAATCAATCCATTTGCATTCACTTAACATTCAGCCACAGAACATACATAAACATTAAGTATTCACAAATTTTGCTTATGCCTGTTCAGAGGTATGAATGGTTAGTCAAATACAATATATGGGGTTATGGTGGCAGTATCAAAAACATAACATGAACATTATATAGTTGCACTAACACGATGCCACTATCTTCTATGTTTTCAGGAACATGCAGTCCACTATATATTAGAACTGTAATCCTATAACCACACAACTGAAAGTAAATCCTATTAATCTTAAAAGAGCTTCTGAAACAATATTCATAGGTGTGTGTGATATTCCCCCCAAAATTAAGAATATCCATTAATTTATATTCTATTTATTCAACAGAGTGAAACAAAGTTCAGAAAATGACAATAAAAAAATCTTTGTATATTACTTATAACTTTTGAAATATACATGCCAGTTCGGTTCACTTGTAGTTAATTTGCTCTTGCCTCTTTGTTTAAAAAAAAAAAAAAACCTTAGGCAGAATAAAGTAATTCCTGAACACTTTTATGCAGTTGAAATCAATGTAGAACTGTTGGTTTTTATCCCATTTGATCTGTTGTGTTGATGTTGCAGATAGTCTTTTATAACAGTATAGACATTTCTATCAAACTGAAGAGAATAATAAGGCTGAAAGCTATTTGTCTCTGATATAGGTGGTCCATTAAATGTCCCTGAGATACAAAATGTGGCACAGTTTCTCTCTTGTTCCCATTTTGCTCCAGTACCTTCTGAAAATCTTCCAGCGTGTTTACGTAGCTGTGATCTAGTCTCTCTTTTTTGGTACGGAAACGTAACAGAGTTAAATTCTGGCTTTGTCAAAACTTGGTAAATAGGTTTTCAACTGTAGAATATTAGCCACAGGCTGCTTTCCTTCGTGATAAAAGCTAAGTCCTGTAAGGAGTTCCACGTCTCTAATTCGAGCAACATGAAATCTCATTCTCTCTTCGACCCATAAAGATTTGGGCTTGCCAACCTATTGGAAGAAAGAAACAAGTATTCCAGTTCATGTTGCAGACATTCTGAGATATTTGAAAATTCGGTGCTAAATTGATAAATTGCTTTGAAGATGATCTGAGAATGTTCTCCAGAGCAAGAAGGTGTATCGCTGGAAAGGTGAATCGAATAGTCCTTACTTTCAACAGCTCATGACCTACTGACCATAAGGGGGCAGTAGAGTATAGCTAGAGAATTAAGGGCCTCTTCTGTATCATGTCTTTGTCTATCATTCTTCCTCTTTCTTTTTTTTTCTTTCTTTTTTTTAAATAGATCAATGATTCAGGGCACTTCCACTTGCCTGTATTCCCAGGAACTTTTGCAAAGACAACATGGCTCAGAACTCTCTTGTTCTGAGAACATAATTAGCTGGGTACTAAAATTTGCCTATTCCTACAAGGTGTTTCCTAATGAATTAAACTCTTTTCTGCTGCAGTTATATAAAACTCACTTTATTGATCATTATTCATGTCATATTCCCATTCTCAGGAATGATCAAATGCACACAAAGAAATTTAGCCTTCTTTCCCGTAACAGTGTGAACGGAACAGTTGCAGAATTATAATGTTGAAAGAGGCCAATTTAATTCATTGATCCAATCCCTGTTCAGCGTGGGAGTCCAAATTAAAGCAGCAGGACAGATGGCTATCCTGCTATTGTTTGAAAACAGTCAGTGGAAGGAAGCTTGGCATTTTTCTTGGTAATTGCTTCCACTGTTAAACAGTTAATGCTATTTGGAAACAGTTGCTGATGATCAGCTGGAAATTACTTCCTTAAAGCAATTATTCTATGTGCTGCACTCTGTGAAAACAGAAAGCAGAACTACATCTTCTGTCAGACTTGTCCTTAGATGCTTTAAAACTGTTACTATATGCTACCTACTACCATCATGTGCCACCATCTAATCTTTCTTCTCAGGAATCAACATACCTGATTCTTTTAGTCTCATCTTCTCCTACATTTTACCAGCTCTATCACATTGTTGATTCATAGTCCATTTATGAACAATTATAATTTCAATATCTTAGAATATATAATTCCATGACAGTTGTTACGTGAGTTTTGCCCCATTTTACAACATTTCTTGCCACAATGGTTAACTGAATATCTGCAGTTGCTAAGTTAGTAACATGGTTGTTAAGTGAATCTGGATTCTCCATTGACTTTGCAAAAAGGTGATCACATGACCCTGGGACACTGCAACCATCATAAGCCAAGCATCTGAATTTTGATCATATGACCGTGGGGATACCGCAACAGCGTGTGAAAAACAGTCATAAATAATTTTTTCAGCGCCATTGTAACTTTGAATGGTCACTAAATGAACTGTGGTAAGAAGAGAACTACCTGTATACACTTATTTAATTACTGAATAATAAAATCAATTAAGTTAGTTACTTTGTGTAGTGATTAAGGCACCAGTCTTGAAACTGGGAGATTGTGAATTCTGGTCCCACCTTAGACACAAAGCCAGCTGGGGACCTTGGGCTCTTTCAGTCCTAGATAGCAGGCAAACCACTTCCAAAAATCTTGCCAAACTTTTCCCAGCAGTTGCCAGAAATCAAGATGGATTCAAAGAGAACACCCCACCCCCCAAAATATCTGCACTGTAGATCAGGATTTGAATCCCCCCCCCAGTGTTTCTTTTAAATTTAATTTTATTATTTTTCAACTCACTTTTCTTGCCAAGATCTCTCCAAGATCCAAGATTTTGAATATTCTTTATTTGTCCTAGATTATTTATTTATTTATTTATTTATTTATATTTAAACTTCTATGCCGCCCTTCTCCCCAGAGGGACTCAGGGCGGCTCACAGCATGTTAAAAAACAACACAAAAAAACATTTCCCCTATAAAACCAATTAAAAAGCAAATATATTAATAGCTGTGTCATATTTAAAATCTTTGAAAATTTTTAAAAATTATTCCCTATT